AGTTAACCACCACTGTTAAGTCTTACTTTCCTGGGTAGATTTGCAAGCCCAAGAAAGATTTGGTTATCCTCTAGCTTTTTCTTGGTGGCTCGTAGTCTGTTACCCAGTGCCTTAAAATGTAGCCCTGATTTTCTGCATAAGAGGATTTTCAGAGGGTGGGATAGATGCTGGTTATTAATGAACCTCAATTTGCATTTCTTTGCCTCACCTGGGAAAGGCTGAATCTCCAAGGGGGAGGTGCTGCTGCTTTTCCCCATAGCTCGAGAAAGGAGCACACTGGCCACCATCCTTTGTGGCTGCAATTCAGCAAAAACTCTGTGTGCCCTCCAAATTCTGGGTGTCCCCACAGAGTTCCAGCCCAGTCAGCCCTCCCTCTGAAATAGCCCCCAGGTGAGTGGCTGTGGCTATTTTCGTGCTCTGTCCCAGCCCTCTGTGCTGTGGAGTGGGCTTGGTTTTCATTCCCCAAGGACACTGCTCACAGTTAAGACTGCTGCTGTCTGTGGACTCCCAGCCCACCAGCCTCTTGCATCTCTGCAGATCCTACCAGTGTCCCTGGTTATGTGGTCCTGTCCTGCTGCTTTTCTGTTGCTTTTTCCCAAGGATTTGTCTTTATTTTAGTTGTAATTCCCGTTTGGTCCTGGGAGATCATCTGTGTAGCTCCCATTCACTCCGCCTCCATTTTCACATCCTCTACGCCTATCTTGTGCGCAGCTGGGTCTCATAGGCCTCTCTGGTGCCCCCGCACCTTGTAGGTCCTGTGGGTAACTGGATCGCACAGTCCCTTTGGGGACCCAGCTCTATGCCTATGTTATGGGATGCTGGTTTGCACAGGCCTCTCTGGTGCTTCAGCACCCCGCAGGTCCTGCGGGTAACTGGTCTCACAGTCCCTGCTGGGTCGCACAGGCCTCTCTGGTGCCCCTGCACTCGGCAGGTCCCGTGGGTGGGCAGCTGGATAGCACCAGTCCCTCTCGGGCTCGTTTCCCACCACTCTTGTGAGCTGCTGCATCGCACAGGCTTCTCTGGTGCCCCAGGTCCCGCCACTGGCTGGGGAGTCATTTTTTTTTTTTAATTTTTAAAGTAGAAATTGTTGACAGCTTATTTTGTTGATCTTTTGTGAATGAAGCTACTTTAAAAACCTCCTAAAAATAGCCACCATGAGCAAACACTGCCCACTACAGGAGCTGTCTTCAATGAGAACAGAGCCTGTGTCAGCACTGGCAGAGAAAAGGCTGGGATAGTAAGCACTGTGATATCTGACTGGCTGTCTGGCTTGCGGGATACAGATCCTGATCCATAGGCACCAAGCAGTAGCCACCAAGTATAGTACAAGAGAAAAAAGAATACAGCCACCCAAAACCTCCAATCTTTCAAAAACCAGAAAACACTTCAGGAATCTCTAAACGGTGTACCACTGACTTACTCAGAAAATTGCCAAGCAGCTAGGGATGCTTGAATAAAACCCCTTACTTTAGAGGCAAGACACCCACCCTGGCCAGTGTGGCTGAGTTCTTTGGAGCATCATCCTGTACACTGAAGGTTGCGGGTTCAGTTCCCAGTCAGGGCACACAGTTAGGTTGTGAGTTTGATCTCCGGGTGAAACCATATGGGAGCCAACTTATTGATGTTTCTCTATCACATCGAGGTTTCTCACTTTCTTTCTCTCTCTCTTGCCCTCTCCCCCCCCCCCCCCCCCGCCATCCCTCTCTCTAAAAAAAAACTAAAATCAATTAACATATCCTCAGGCTAGGATTTAAAAAGAAAAAGGCTTGCCCTCAGTGGTTGAACATCAAACCATGCACCAAGAGGTCACCAATTCAATTCCAGGTCAGGGCACATGCCTGGGTTGTGGACCAAATCCCCAGTGGGGGGCATGCAAGTGGTGGCCAATCGATATTCCCTCTCATCAAGGTTTCGCTCTCTCTTTAAAATCAATAAAGAAAAAAAATTAAAAAGGGGGGGCAAGACACAAAGTTCAGCCATCTTTCTTTTTTTCTTTTTTAAAAGAAGAGGAAAAATCTAAATTCCTATTCTGAAGGGTAGAAATTGGAGATTAGATGGAGAAATAATTTCGATTTTGTGTGGAAACAGCACCATCTTGTGGGTTTCTAAGACATTACCACAACTAACTTCCACAAAGTTCTTTGAATTGTGTTCTTTTCCCAGAATGTGGAAACACAGGAAGGGAAGTAAAAGCACCCCCAAATGTATGGGAGGTTCTAACTTGATCACAGTTTCTAATAATGAAGTGCCACTGTGTAGGGACACTACTTCATTATTCTGGAATTATTCCCCAAGCTCCTAATTTAGGAAAGATTAGGGAAAGCGATTACTTATAATTAAAAAAATCCCTTCACTTACAAAGGATTCCATTAAATGTCAAGGTCCTTCTGATGCAAAGAGTTTTTGTTAGTTTGGGGGAGGGAGTATTAGGATTTGAGTAGCAATGATTTTTATGTTTAGGTTGAGTGGCTGTTGATCAGGTTGAGGGAATTTAACACACACACACACAATGCTGCTGGTGAGCATTTCAAATCTTTTGACTCTAAGCTATCCAGAACAGGTCATGGTTAATGTTGTTATGTCACATAGAGTTAATGTTTAATTCTACTAGTTAAAATGTGTTAATAAATTATACATACTTTTCATAGGGATACATTGTACTTACTATAGAATAAACAATAATCCTCCAAGTCTGCTTGAAATATCTGAGAGAATACCCAATTTTTTTTACCAAGCAATCTCCTGCCTAGCAATTTGCTTTCTGGGTACCCTGAAAGCAAGAAGTCACCCTTGAGTCACTGGAAAGGTATATCCCTTCCCTGCCCCCGCCCCATCCCTTTCCCCGGGGTGAACTGCAAAGCTGGTATCCAGTTTCTGAACCTTGGAGCCTGGCACACTGATGCCCAGGCTCATCTTCAGCCCCACGTTAAGCACCACCTGTGGACTTCCCTGTCTTTGCCTGCTCTCTGTATTACCTCACAGGCAAATCCCAAGAAGGGTGCCCCAAAGTTTGGAAACAATGTTTTGGTTCAGGTGTACAGGTTTCTGGAAAACTTTATCAAATGTAACTTTTCAGAATGTTTAACTGCATTATCAAGGGAAACCTGTCCCAGAGCGTTCTGTTTACAGCCAAGATGGAGTAACAGGGACTGGATTTTCCTTTGTGTCTGAATCAAGTGAAAAAAGAGACAAAATATCCGGAACAATAGTTTTCAGACACTGCACATTGACAGAGCAGAAGTGAGAGCCCTGAAAGTGGGAAACAAGTTAGGTGAGTCCTACAGTTGCCCACCCTCACTGCCTAAAGAACATCAGAGCAGCAGAGAGGGGAACCCGGCAGAGCCAGGTGGCCCCGAGTTGAGCAGAAGAAGCTTGAGGGAATTTTAGGGCAGAAGTGCAGGGCAGGGGGACTGCACTAAGAGAGCTCCAGAGATCTGCAAAGGGCCCCCCTCGAGTCCAGAAAAGAACCACATAACAGAAGCAGAGGGAAAAGTTCTAGAGCTTGCACAGGGCTGAAAATATCTCACATTTCCAGAGCCACAGGGGAGAACCTGGTCTATCAAGGAGCACCAGGTAGAGTTCTCAGAGGGTATTGCCGCAGTAGTGGGGAAAAATGAGCCCTACACTAAAAGCTTCTCTATGTCATATACCAAACTATCCAAGCAGCCTAGCCATACCCCAGAACAGAGCTCAGGAACATTTATAGGAATACAGAAATATCTAGTCCCCAGCAAGGTAAAATTCACAACGAGTGATATGCCATCAAAGATTACTGGGCATACAAAGAAGCAGGAAAACACAACTCGTAATGAGGAAGGAGATCAATTCATCCATCAAACCTGACACAGGTGATAAATTAGTAGACAGGGCCATTAATACAGATGTTATAACCATATTCCATATGTTCAAGAATGTGGAGGAAAGACTGAACATAGTAAGTACACACACAGAAGATATAATACAGCTCAATTCAAACTTCTAGAGATTAAAAATACATCTGAGAAGGGATTAACAGCCAATGAGACACTGACGATCAATGAACGTGAAGACATTAAAATAGAAGCTACCCGCCCAAACAGAAATTAGAGAAAGAAAAAGAGCTGTAGGACGCCTTACAGAGATCTGACATTTGTATATACGTTATCATCACACACGTCCCACATGTGTATTATTCTCCTCAAAAGAAGAAAAAAGGAAGAAAGACAAGAAAAACAGTTCAAGAAATAATGGCCAAAAATTTTCCAAATTTGATGAAAACTGTAAGCCCACAGACCCACGAAGTTGAATAAACCCAAGCACAAGAAACATGAAGAAAACAATTCCAAGGCATATCATAGTCAAATTGTTCAAAACTAGTGAGAAAATATTTAAAAAATCAACCAAGAAAGATACATTATATGCAAAACAAAGATAAGCGTATATACAGCATGGCTCTATTTTATACAAAATTCTAGCAAATGCAAACCAATGTATGGGTACAGAAAACAGATCAGTAGTTGCGTCAGAACCAGGGGAGTGCAGAGGGGTAGGCGGGAGGGAAAGGTGACCTCTGGAAGTGACAGATGTTTATTATTGTGCTTGTGGTCAGTTTCATGTTTGTATGTATGTATGTCAAAAAACTTGCTAAGCTGTACACGTTGAACACGTGCAGTTTATTGCTTGTTGATTCTACCTCCACAGAGCTGTGAAAAACTTCAACCAGGAAATGAAACGGTCTTTCTTAGCAAGACCCAAAGGTAATAATAAAGGGAGAGACAAGATTGCCTCTTCAGAGCACCTTCTTCCAGGCCGGATTCCATACTCAAGATGACAATTAGGAAACATTCTGTCTTAAAACATATAGTGAAACCCGGGTCTCATCCCCCAGTTGTCATTCTTGTTATCCTCGCTAGGCCTTCCTCTCTACTCCACTTGAGACTTCTCCCCCTTTCCATCCTCCTCACTACAAACACGCCCTCGAACCGTGGTTCAGGGTAAGAGAGGCAGGGGACCCAGCTCACCTGCGGCGCTGCGTGGAGAAGCGAGGCTCCGAAGTCCTGGTCCCTGATGAGCCTGTCCTCGGGTTGGGCAGGAAGCTGGGAAGCAACCACTGCTGAAGTGAGAAACAGGAAGTCTGAAGAATCAGATGTTCTCCTCACCAGTCCCCAGAGGGTACAGATGAAATCTTCACACATTAGGACTGATATCTGTTTCACCATCTACGATTTCAAGAATTGTACTGACTAAAAACTGCAGCTCCCTCCAGCCTTCCAAACAGTCTTGCCCATATTTTCTCCCACCTCCTTCTCCAAAACCAAAATCCCAAAGGTCCAGCCCAGTCACGGAGTGTGTCAAGTATGGGCTTTGAATATCCGAATCAGAGCAATTCACGTAGGACTACCTGTTTCTGAACTTTCTAGAGGTACCTCAATCTGGGCAGCATTATCATTTTCAACCACTCTCAGGCCTACAGCCGCAATCCCCAGATTTCTCCAAGAGAGCACCACACGCCACCTGGAAAACCGCCTCACCTAACTCTTGTTCCGGGTCAGACTCCTCCTTCACCATGTGGCTCAGTGGCTCCCCGGGCCCAGAGGGAGAATTCTGCAGTCCCAGCTCCTGAGGCATCACTTCACGATGGGCCTCCACTTCCCCCACCCGGCAGCTTGCAGATTCCGCCTTCTTGGATACAATGTCCTGTCCTAAAACGTGGATGCTGATCTGGGGACCACATAGTACTAATTACTGAAAGATCCAGAGGGAGGGTTTCCTAAAGCTTCTACAACAGATCATAAGACAGGCCTTAGGGACAGGAAGTAAGAAAAGAGAAACGCAGCTTTTATTGCTAGTACAGCAGGAACCACTGAGGGGAAACACCCTGAGAGAGGCCAGAAGCTGAGGCTGGAACCAGGGCTGGCGCCTTCAAGACATAACCACTAACTCTGTGTTTCTACGGGACAGTTTCCACCAGTTAAAACTCAGGTGTTTTTCAAACAGCTTCTCAAACATTCTAGCCTAAATATGGAATGGCATGGGAGGCTTTATCCTCAATCCCTAATGGCTAAAAAGTGTTGAGAGTCACAGGGAATCTTAGAATTAGGTGAGGTTTGGGATACACTGATGTGGTGTAATAAGAAAAATAGATTTGGTCTTTTTCCCTGGTTCCTGGTACAGAGCTCCTAAAACCCTTGGAATTCCCTGAAGGACAGGAGTGATTTTTGTTATTTATAATGAGCCTCTTTCAAACATATCTGAGTTTATGCTAATGAGGTGATTCTTGGGGGGCCCTGAGGATAGAGGCTGGTCACCAGAGGAGCCAACCAGGTGAGCAGAGAGTTGGAAATGTCAGCCCCATCCCTCAACCTCTGGGGAAGGCGTGAGGGGCCGGAAGTTTTCAATCACCAGTGGCCAACAATAAATCAATCATGCCTAAATAACGAAACCTCCATAAAAACACCTAAACTATGGGGTTCTGGGAGCTTCTGAGGTGGCGAGCACATGGAAGTGGGTGGCCTGGAGAAGGCATGGAAGCTCTATGTGACCCCATCTCCTCCAACTGTCTGTTCCTGAGTGATATCCTGTAAAATAAACTGGTAAATGTAAGTGAAGTGTTTTCCTGACTTCTATGAGTCATTCTAGCAAATTATCCGAGGATATGATTTTGGGAACTTCCAAATTTATAGCTAGCAGGTTACAAGTATGGATGGCCCTTGAGACTTATAATTGGTTTGTGAAATGGGAGCCATCTTTGAGACTGACCCTTATCCTGTGGGATCTGAGTCAACCCCTGATATTCAGTGTCAGAACTGAACTGATTTGTAGGACACCCGGTTGGTATCAGAGGACTGGAGAATGGTTGTTAGTGTAGAAAACTCCACATATTTGGATCAGAAAAAAGACTGCACACCTGATAAGACTGCAGAAGAACCCTGTGCTTCACTAACAGATCCTAATACCCTCTGCTTACCCACTGCCACAGCCTCTGGGGATCTCCCTTCAAGCTTTCCACAAGGGTCACCGCCTCCTCTCCACTGCCTGGACGCTGTTTCCGCACCCACATCTGAATCTCCCCAGGCAGGATGGTCAGGAACTGCTCCAACATGAGGATCTCTAGGATCTGCTCCTTGGTGTGAACCTCTGGCTGCAGCCACTGGAAACAGAGCTTCCGAAGTTGTCTGAGGGTTTCCTGGGGCCCAGACATCACCTGGTAACGAAACTGCCTGAAAAGCTGGTGTGCAGTCTCGGGGCTGGAGGGCTCCCCTCGAGTGGCAGCATCTGGTCCAGAGAATGCTGAGTCCTCGGCCTTTGCCAGTGGTGGCAGCAGGATGAGGGCCTGCCCCAGCTCAACGGGCATCATCTGGCCTGGCAAGTCCTTTTAGGTGAAGTTCTTCCGGGATGAAGTTGTCTTTGGGAGAAGCAGGTCTTCACAGAGCCTCTCACAGGGACAAGTGAGGCAGTGAGGTCGTGCTATACAGAAGACAGGGACACCTTTTCAGAAAGAAAAAATTCACATACTCTACCTAAGAAGCCTAGGAGTCAACCATGGATCTTTTCAAATCAATGGATACCCTATTTTATTTTGCAAGATTGTAAACGTGAAGCCACAAAGCAAACCATTCATACATATCTAAACAGTCACCATCACCCTGACCATTTTATAACATTTCTTCTTGGTCTTCAAATGTCCAGCCCAAGTAGAAAAATAAAATGCACCACATGAAGCATTTTCACTGTGCATTTCCAGGTAAACAGCTCTTCTGCAAAAACACTTCCATGTCTGTATCCACATCAGCAGACTAAAAAATAAAGCTGAACAAAGACATAATGCTGAGATCATCAGATGCTTCCCCAGTAAATATGAGGTTGAAGAGAACAAATTAACTCTTCGCCAAAAGGTGCAATGAAATTTCTAAGTGACCTCTTTTGAGTGCCATGGGAATTTATAAAAAACCACTCACATTTTCAGCCTTGGGCTTAAAGGTTTATAATAAATACTAACTACCTCAAAAACATTCCTACAAACTTGAACCAAGTAATATTATGGTGAATGGTATCAAAATTTAGAAGATAGCAATTAAGATGGTAAAAAGAAAAATATTAAATGGCCAATCAATTAAATGTTATATCTAGTTAGCTTTCTTGCATGTAATCCTAATAATGGATTGATTATTGGGTCAATCCTTATATGTTATGAAAGACCTAGAGGTCATCACTCTCTATAACACTAACCACAACAACCAAAAGACACCCAGTCACTTGGGTATTTGACTTAATTAGAGATCAGCACAACACTCTAGTTTTGATAGATGCTTTTTCTTCACATATAAAAACAAATGTCCTCCTCCTGACCACTTCACCCAAACAGTTCATCCTACATGACAAAATCATTTAAAAAGCAAAAAAAGGGGAAAAAATTTCCCATAAGAACAAAAAAGGAACGAGTGAAGTAAATATCAGAGTAAATGGCAGTATATACACTAGCCCACCCATTGTAAATAACTACAAAGCCTGAGAAAACTTATCAGGCAACTGTTTTCAAGCACTGGATAACAGGCAGGCAAGAATTAAATCCCTGAGAGAAGAAAAACTCATGAGGTGAACCCCATAAATATCCTGGCTGTCAGCATGGGGACAATTTCCCAAGGAAAAGAAGCTGGAGCTCAAGCAGAAATCATTAATCTCATTGAAAAACTAAACTGAGGAGGCAGAGATCAGAATTTGGAGCCACTGGAGTGTCTGGAATCTAAAGAACAGGGCAATGGAGAGGAGGGAGCTATGGGGGTGAAGGCAGAAGTCTGGGCGGGGTTTCCCTGAGAGCCCTGGCCAAAGGTTAGACTGCTCACCAGCAGAGTGAAACTATACAAGGGTTAACAAGACAGTAGTTACTACCAGATTAAGAGCAAAAGAGAGAAACAAAAGACCAATCAGTGATGAGAGACATGGGAGTTTTTGACCACTGATAGTGGAGAGACCTCTGCCTTCATTAACACCCAAGGTATCCTGAGATACCAGAAAGGCCACATTTTCAAAATAAAGACCATATGCTAGAGTAAGACCTGCTCTAAACCTGCCCTTAAATGCCAAAGCCAAGCCTCAACAAGATCCACAGAGATGACTCCGTTTACTGGTCTAGTCTGATCTGGTCAGAGGAACTTGAGAAATACCTTGGGCTTTCCAACGATATGCCTTAACAAGGTATAAAACCAATCCAACACAAGCCAAGAGTGATTAGTCAGTAACTGAACTGCCAGCTAGAACAAAAGTCAACACTCATCAGAGGAAGATAACAGAATTCTTAGCATCAACAACGTGCTATCCACAATATCTAGGATGCAATCCAAAATTACTAGACATATAAAGAAACAGGAAAAGTCACAGAGAACACGGAAATTGACCCAAGACATTATGCCCAATTAATATTTGGCAAAGGTGGCAAGAGCATACAATAAAGAAAGACAGCCTCTTTAATTAATGGTGTTGGGAAAATTGGACAGCTACATGCAAAAAAAATGAAACTAGAGCACCAACTTACACCTTACACAAGAATAAACTCAAAATGAATAAAAGGCTTAAATGTAACTCATGAATCCATAAAAATCCTAGAAGAAAATGTAGGCAACAAAATTTCACATATCACATGCAGCAAATTTTCACTGATACAATGCCTAAGGCAAAGAAACAAAGGAAAAAATTAGTAAATGGACTACATCAAACTAAAAAGCTTCTGCATGGCAAAAGAAAGAAGCATCAAAATGGAAAGGGAACCCACTATATGGGAGAGCATAACAGCCAATGATACAGCAGATAAAGGGTTAATTTCCAAAATATATAAAGTACTCATACAACTCAACAAAAGGAAGAAAAAGAACCCAAATAAAAAATGGGCAGAGCATCCTGGTCAGTTTGGGTCAGTGGTTAGAGCGTTGGCCTGCGGTCCGGAGAGACCCGGGTTTGGTTCCCGCGAAGGGCACATACCTCAGTTGCAGTTTGTCCCCGGCCCTGGTTGGGTTGTGCAGGTGGCAGCCACTCAATGTGTCCCTTTCATGTCGATGTTTCTCTCTCTCTTTCTCTTCCTCTCTCACCCTCCCACTCTATCTGAACAAAAAATGGAAAAATGTCCTCAGGTGAGGATTAAAAAAAAAAATGGGCAGAAGACCTAAATAGACACTTCCCCAAACAGGACATACAAATGGCCAAGAGACATATGAAAATGTGCTCAATATCACTAATCATCAGAAAGATACAAATTAAAACAACTATGAGGTATCATGTCACACCTGCCAGAATGACTGCCATGAACAAATTATCAAACAACAAGTGTTGGTGAGGGTGTGGAGAAAAGGGGACTTTTAGTACACTGCTGGTGGGAATGCAGACTGGTGCAGCCACTATGGAAAACAATATGGTGTTTCCTCAAAAAATTAAAAATTGAACTGCCATTTAATCCAGTGATCCCACTCCTAGAAATATATCCTAAGAAGCCTGAAACATAAATCAGAAAGAATGTATGTACCCCTATGTTCATAGCAGCACTATTTACAATTGCTAAGATCTGGAAACAGCCCATGTGTCCATCAGTAGATGAGTGGATAAAAAAACTGTGGTACATATACACAATAAAATACTATGCAGCTGTAAGAAAGATCTCTTATCCTTTGAGATGACATGGAGGGACTTGGAGAGTATTATGCTAAGTGAAATAAGCGAATCAGAGAAAGACAAATACCACATGGTCTTATTTATTTGCAGAATATAATGAACAAAATAAGCTGATGAACAAAATAGACCAAGATATAGAAAGGAGTATGGTTCAGACTGACAAATCTCAGAGGAGGTGGGGTGGGAAGGGATGAGATAAACCAAAGAACCTACATGCATGTATGCATAACCAATGGACATAGACAACAATGGTGTGAGTGGGGGATGGGATTAGGAGGAGGGTGTCTGTAGGGGAAAAAGGAGAAACATCTGTAACAAAAATAAATAAATCAAAAAAGAGAGAAAAAAAAAAGAAATGGGAAAAGTCAAGACAAAAAGCAGTCAAGGGAAACCAACCCCAAAATGACCTGAGGACCTAAAGAAAAATGTAGTCTGAATGAAAGAAGAGATAAGGACTTTCCACAAAGAAATAGAAATTATAAAAAAGAACCAAATGCAAATTCTAGAAAAAGAACCCTGACCTCAGAATTCCACATCCAAAAAATAATCTTTCAAAAACAAAAATTAAAATAAAGACATTTTTCCGATAAATAAGGTAGGTGAATTTTCCCCCACTGACTTGTACTATGAGAAATGCTAAAGGACATTCTTCCAGTTGAAGGGAAACTCATATCTATGGAAAGGAATAAAAATCTCCAAAAATGGTAAATATATGATAAATAAATATAAAGTACCATGCTTTTATTTATTCTAACTTCCTTAAAAGGCAAGTGACTGTTAAAAGCAAAAATAACAGTACAAATAGAACATAAGTGGAAGATATTAAAATAGTAGAAAGGAGGGGGTAAATGCAATCAGTCTGTTGTTAGGTTATTACATTTATGAACTGATAATTGAGAAATAAAAAGTGGGAAGTGAGTGGTGGTGAAAATGGGAAGTGTAAAGGTATAAGTGAGAGGCAAGGCAGGAAATGAGAAATGTGAACTGTGAAGTGTAAAGTGGTAAAACATTAAAGTAGATTTTGACAAGTTAAAATAAACTTTGATAATTTATAGATAGATAATGTTAGCTGAACTGTAGAAATATAAAAAGAAGTATAGCTAAAAAGCCAAAAAGGAATAGTAAAAAACATTCAATAACCCAAAATGTGATATGAATGGGTCAAGAGAAGAATAAAAACAAGATCAATGGAAAAAAGACAACATGGTAGACTAACACACAACCATATCAATAATTACATTAAATGTAAATGTACTAAACGCTTGAATTATACAATAGAAATGGTCAGATTTTAAAAAAGCAAGACCCAATCATGTACTGTCTGCAAGAGATACTTTACATATAAAGATACAGGTTGGAAATAAAATGGTGGGAAAAACACATTCTATGCAACTATCAAACACATGAAAGCTGGTATGGCTATATTAATATCTGACCAAGAGACTTCAAGATAAAGAGGAAAAGGGGGACATTTCATTATGATAAATGGGTCGAATTATCTAGCACACAAAAGAATCCTAAATGTGTATACACTTAATATCAGGCCTAAAGAGACAAATCCTCAATCTTACTTTGAGATTTTAACATCATTCTGTCATTAATTGATTGATAAAACAAGTAGATACTCCCCCTTAAAAAAAACAAAAATCATTAAGGACATAGAAAATCTGAACAACACTATCAACCAACTTGATCTTATTGACATTTAGACCCAACAACTATTAAATACACATTCACTTCAAGTGAAGATGTAACATTCACCAAAACAGACAATCTGCATAATTAAGTTTCCAAAGACTGGAATCTTAAAGAATATATATTCTCTGACC